TGCCTGCTGATGCCAGGAGCTGACATGAGCTGTCACTTTGGCAAGAGCTGTCCTTGGGGGTGATGTGCTCCGTGGGAGAACCCTTGGCACCTCAGCACCTTAGCTGAGTGAGAGGAAGACCTGCAGGTCCAGCAGCTATTGTGCCAGCAAACAAACTCCTGCTCCCTACCAGACAACCCTGTACAGAGGCACCTCACATTTACTTCTTGCAGAGTAACTCTGCAAGTTGTCCTGAACAGAGCTTGGGCAAGTGTCTCTGGTCTTCAATCAGTACACAGGCAACAGATCTGGGTGTGTTTGGGATGTCTTTGCAGGAACGCACCTATATTCCAGAGGACCAAAGACATGCCAACAAAAATTCCCAGGCAGCGTTTTGTTACTCAGAAACCATCCCTGCTCCCACGGGGAAGGACGATGCTCAGCAGAAATCGGTAAGTTCTCTTCCCCAGTGCAAGCCCAGACCTGTCTGAGGACCTCAGCTGTGCTTCATTGCAGGGACAGAGGGTTTCCACCTGTGAGCACTTCAGTGTTTCATTCCTCCTCTCCCTGTTTTACTATGTAAACCCTGCATAAAGCAGGTTATGCCAATATTCCCACCCCAAGAATGAGGAAAAAGCTATTGTCTGCATAGGATGTCTGGGTGGTGCTCCTCAGCTTGCAAGTTTATCTGTATCTGCTGCAGGAGCAGTGGCACATCTCTGGGTCACCTCCAGGCTGGTTCAGAGGGAGCGGGACTCACAGGTAACTCCCAAATACCTCACCTGCACAGCTTTGTGCCTTTCTTTCCTGAATTCCAGGACATGGAGCTTCTCCGGTTCTCGCTGGTTCTCATCCAGTCCTGGCTGACCCCGGTGCAATACCTAAGCAAGGTGTTCACAAACAACCTGGTTTTCGGCACCTCAGACAGGGTGTATGAAAAACTAAAGGACCTGGAAGAAGGGATCCAAGCTCTCATGAGGGTAAGTTGCAGCACATAGCATGACTACAGAATAACAAAGACCTCCTAGACGCACAGCACTCAACTCTCAGGGTCTTCCATGGGATCCAAAGACCATGAGAAATCTCCCCACCTTCTACTCTGAGGACTAGTGGTATTCTTTGGCCTTTGTTGACCTTAAAATAATGAGATCATGACATCCTACTGTATTCATCACTGGGGAGTACAAGCAAACACAAACCAAAAGTTAATAGCACTGCTGTTGCCATTCAGATAGCAGTACAGATCACAGAAGGCCAGACCCAAAGTCTTTCCAAACCCAGCACCAAAGAATACTCAGTTGCTTAAACCTGCTGTACAACCACCAACAGAAAGTTTGCTGCATCTCCATGCAAAATGCTTCAAAATTGAGTGAATTTTGGACTTGTAGAGCACTTTATAAAACAACCCGTTATCAGTCTGTACAGATGGAAGCCCATGCTCTTTCACATGAATACAGCACCCTGACTGCTGAGACCTGGAGAAGGATGTTCTTAAGGGTCACTCTTCACTTGTGATCTGTTGTTTTAAATCAAATTGCTTATTATCTCCCACTTACACTTACTCTACAACTAAGTTTACCTGCCAGTGTACGGAGCAGGAGCTCTGAGACCTGCATCTGTGAGGAATGAGTCTGGGCAATTACTTACCATCTTCTAGCATCTAAATAACTCTGAAAGTCAGGCTCTGAGAGTAAAGAGAGATCTCCTGTCCTGGCATTCAGATGGAGTAAGTAGATGTATGTATGAGTATCACTTCCAGGTTTTGCTCTCCATTTGACATGTGCTTGGGCAGTGGGAAGGGGTACACAAATTAGACAAATGACCACACTTCATCCATTTATAACACTGTTTACTTAACCAAAACTGTCTGTCTGTTGTGTGAGTTGGTGTGCAAAGCAGGGCAGGAGAAGAGGCAGGCTGCAGACCGGTCAGCTCCAGATACATGTGGTTTGGGTCTGGGTGAGAGCTTTGTTCACTAGAAAAGTGGGAGAAAAGAGAATTATTTGCCTGGTTCCCCATCCTCTTATTTTAAGACCCCGAAAGACACATTATTCCCTCCCTGCAGCCTCGTGCCCAGCTCCCTTCTCCCTTCCAGCAATTTGTATGGCACCTGCCCTGCACAACTACCCCTCCTGTAAACACAAATCAAGAGTGTATTTGAAATATGATTAAGAGTGGGAGGGAAAAGCACCAAACTCCTCTAAAAGCCGTGTGGGAGCCTCATCAGTGGGTCCCTTGGAGGATGCTGATCCCCTGGCACCTCTCCATCATCTCCCAGGAGCTGGAGGACCGGAGCCCGCGGGGTCCCCAGATCCTCAAACCCACCTACGACAAATTCGACATCCACCTTCGCACCGAGGACGCGCTGCTGAAGAACTACGGCTTGCTCTCCTGCTTCAAAAAGGACCTGCACAAGGTGGAGACCTACCTGAAGGTGATGAAGTGCCGGCGCTACGGAGAGGGAAACTGCACCATTTGACCCCGGGGACAGCATCCCCCCACCCAGCTCCTGCCCCTCGCTGCCCGCGCCTGCCCTGCTCCTTGTAAAGACAAGCGGAGAATAAACACGCTACTGCCGACGTGTCGTGGATCTAGTTTCTAGGAGTGGATGTGGGAAACGAGCTGCTGGAGGGACAGGGGCGTGTGGGGCTGAAAGGGGGTAAATTGGGGCTTGGATACAGCAGATTTGGGGCGGGGGGCGCGTTTGCGGTGCTCTTCCCTCCCTGCGTGCCGAGGGCGGGCCGTTGGGCGGGCGATGCCGG